GTAAAACATATATGGGGACCCACGGGGTTAAGGGATGGGAGCAGAGGGGTGAGGATTAGTAGGGGTGAAGTCACAAAGTTGCACAATTTGTTAAGTGGAGGGAGGGGATAAAGGAAATGGGAATGATCTGGCAGGGACCTGAGAAGCCAGGGTACTGATGGGCATAGTCCAATGATGATTCATTTTATAAAACATCATGCATGGGAATGATAGTATGAAATCCAATGTGAACGAAGAATAGTGTGAAACACAATGGATATGAACTTTGTAAGCAAAACAATGTAAAATCATTTTTTTAAAATGACTTTTGCAAATAAGAAGCACACATCTTTTAGGGACATTGCCCAGGCAGCACTCTTCCCATCTATTTCCATTTCTCAGCAGCCCTGAGAGCCAGTTACTGTACTCCTCATTTATTAGGTGAGGAGCTGAGATTCAGAGCCACGATCACTTGCCAAGAGTCACTTGGTTCATGAACAGTGAAGAGCAGCTTTGAACCCCAATCTGGCTGACTTTAAAGTCCATACTCTTTCAGCTTCACTCTGAACGTTGTGACAACAGCTAAGGAAAGTCTTCATGGTTGAGAGAACCATCTAGAAATTTTTTAAAAAAATCACCCAGAAAAGTGAAGGTGGTTTGAGGTCCAATGTAGCCCCCGGTCCTTGGCAAACAGACCAATCAAAACTCCAGAGGGTCTCCAACATTCATTTTTTTTTTCAGCTTCTCTAACGGCATCTGTGTCTTTCCTAGGCTCAGGCTTCATTTTTGCAGCATGATATTGGACATCAGAGCTTGTTCAAGAAGTCCAAATGGAACCACTTGATGCACAAATTTGTCATGTGTCATCTCAAGGTACAGGTTGTTCAGGGAGGAGGGTGAGAATCCGTGAGCAACGTTCCCTTACGCAGCACTTTCCGTGATTTTTTTTTTTTATTGTATACATACATTTTAAAAAGTTGATATATGCTCTATAAATATACTAACAATGTTGATTATACATACTGTTGTTGTTGTTATGTGCCATCGAGTCATTTCCGACTCATAG